TTTTAGTTTAGTTTTAGTTTAGTTTTAGTTTAGTTTTAGTTTAGTTTAGTTTTAGTTTAGTTTTAGTTTAGTTTTAGTTTAGTTTTAGTTTAGTTTTAGTTTAGTTTTAGTTTAGTTTTAGTTTAGTTTTAGTTTAGTTTTAGTTTAGTTTTAGTTTAGTTTTAGTTTAGTTTTAGTTTAGTTTTAGTTTAGTTTTAGTTTAGTTTTAGTTTAGTTTTAGTTTAGTTTTAGTTTAGTTTGTCATTGCACCTCGTACAACGAAATTAAATACCATCTTCAGTGTACATTATGACTATGAAAATAAACACAAAGGCACCCCCTTTGCTTTCTATACCACTGAATTGAAAACCCCCCCTGATAGCGCATCAATATTGCCCTATAAAGCAGGATTCAATGTAATTACTGCCCTGGGATAGAAGCTGTTTTTCAGCCTGTTTGTCCTTGTTTTTATTATTGTCCTGTACCGTCTGCCAGACGGTAACCGTTCAAAAAGTAGCTCGTTTTCCCAAAGGCTCAACCCCTAGGGATTATGGGTGTTGAAGTCCAGCCTGCTTGGATGGGTGTAAAGAAAACCACCTTGGGAGAGGGAGGTTAACCAGAGAGCTGCGGTTACGCAGGGCAGGGGGAGGGAAGGGGAGGGCCAGACCGAGAGAGAAGCCATTACCGTCGCGTAGGCAGCCTATCCTGTACATCATCGGCATTTTGATGACGAAGGCGAAGAGGTCGTCGATGAAGGTGTTGAGGGCTTTGTAGGTGAGCATCCTCCAAGGCAGGTGAGCCACCGACTTCAGCTTGTAGTTGATGAAGAGCTGAGGCGTCATGGTGATGAAGCCTAAAAGGGGAGAGAAAGAGGGACCAGCGTCCCCGACCTTAACGACCACAATGGAGTCCCGCAACATTTCTCTTGGCGAGCGAACTCACTGAAGGAGGGAGTTTGGCCCCGCTGTACAGCCTATCCTGCTGCTGTCATTAAGCGAATCGCAGCAGGGGTTGTGTGTGAGGGACAAGATTCGTGGAGCGAATCCGTCCGCCCCACGGACTCGGCTCGTCAGAAGGTCGCAAAAGGGGGATTGTGTGACCGGGGACACTGCAACCGTCATAAATATGAGCCAGTTGCCGAGCGTCTGAATTTTGGTCAGGGGCCCATGGGAGATGCGGCAATGGTCGTTAAGTGTGAAAAATGGACATAAGTCACCTGCTGCTGTAACCTAAACAAACTGGGCAGTGTGCAGTGGTTAGAAGTTGAGGACTACCTGCACTGTAAAACTGGAGGGGGGGAAATGCCACTGAATTGACTTGAGACGGAAAAGGATTATTTTATCTAAAGAGCCATGATGGCGCACTGGTTATAATGCACCACTGCAGGCTGACTAAGCCCAATACCAGCAGTTCGATCCTGACCAGCTCAAGGTTGACTCAGCCTTCCGTGCTTCTGAGGTGGGTAAAGTGAGAACCCAGATTGTTGGGAGGAAATAGGCTGCTGACTCTGTAAACTGCTTAGAAAGAGCTGGAAAGCACTGAGAAGCGGTATATAAGTCTAAATGCTATCGTTATCCTCCTCCCTCCCTCCCTCCCTTCCTTCCTTCCAAGGTCGGTAGAATGAGGACCCAGATTGTTGGGGGCAAGAGGCTGACTCTGTAAACCACTTAGAGAGGAAGGTAAAGCGGTATATAACTGTACGTGCTGTTGCTCTCCTTCCTTCCTTCCTTCCTTCCCTTTCTTCCTTCCCTTCCTTCTTTCCCTTTCCTTCTTTCCCCTCCCTCCCTCCCTCCCTTCCTTCCTTCCTTCCCTTTCCTTCCTTCCTTTTCCTTCTTTCCCTTTCCTTCCTTCCTTCCTACCTTCCTTCCTTCCTTCCTTCCCTCCCTTCCCTTCCCTTCCCTTCCCTTCCCTTCCCTTCCCTCCCTTCCTTCTGAGGTTGGTAAAATGAGGACCCAGATTGTTGGGGGCAAGAGGCTGACTCTGTAAACCACTTAGAGAGGAAGGTAAAGCACTGTGAAGCGGCATATAACTGTAAGTGTTGTTGCTTTCCTTCCTTCCTTCCTTCCTTCCTTCCTTCCTTCCTTCCTTCCTTCCTTCCTTCCTTCCTTCCTCCCTTCCTTCCCTTCCCTTCCCTTCCCTTCCCTTCCCTTCCCTTCCCTTCCCTTCCCTTCCTTCTGAGGTTGGTAAAATGAGGACCCAGATTGTTGGGGACCATGTGGTGACTATAGAGTCTGAAGCGGTCTATAAGTCTAAGTCTTACAAGTATAGACTTATAAGTGGATAAGTCTAAAGCAATCTGAAGCGGCCTATACGTCTAACTGCTACTGCAATTTGGACTACCTCAAAGGACTGTCAGGTGGGAAGCCAGGCCCTGGAGGTCGGGGGGGGGGGGGGGAAGCTGTCAGGGGTCAGCCACCCACCACTAACTCACCAAAGGTCAGCAGGAAACCATAGAGCATGCTCAGGATCCAGGAATACCAGCCCTTGTGTTCCATGTAGAGCAGGCTATATACAGCGTAACAACCCAGCAGGGGGAAAAGGATCCAGGAAAGGTACCGAAAGGCCATCTGTGAAGGCAAAGGGGAGGGGAGGGTCGAGGGCAGGCTGGAAAAAAGTCAAGCATACTAGGATTTCGGGAGAGGGGAACCCACCCAGGGCCACCTAGGGACTAGCGGCAGGAATCAATGTTTGCTGGAGTCACCAACAGGCTGTTGTGGTTTGCCAGCAGCCGGTGCAGACGGCAGTGGAATCGGACAGTGGGGAAGAACGGGGACCAGTCTGGGAGTCTGGGGAGGACTCGGACGAGGGTCCTGCGTCCGATGCAGAGATGGGGCCGGGACCATCTGGGAGTGGGGTGCTGCCTTCGGAGCTTTTGGAGTCTGGCAGAGGAACAAGGGGAGCCTGTTCCCAGTGTGCGTGTGTATGCACAGAGCTGCCAGAAGGCGAGAGCAGCTGAAACAAAAGGGACGATTCGGGAGTAGGGCTGGGAGGTGATGGCCCCTCCCCTAAGGGATAAAGGACAGGCAAAGGTGACGAAACCTTTGCAGGAAGCAAAGTCATTCGCTCAGTTCAGATTCATTTTGAAGCTTTGTGTGGACTTTGTACTTTGGTTGGGTTATAGTTAATTTGGCACTTTGGTTGTTGGCAGCAATTAAAAGGAGAGGAAGGTGGGTGCTTATCTCGAGGGACTGTTTGGGACTCATTACCGGCTGGGAATGAAAATAATTCCTAGCACTGGAATAAAACAAGAGTTGTTTTAACTAAGTGTGAGCTTAATTACGGTCTTGGGAAGCTTTGGTCAGAACGCAGGCAATATCTAGCATAGCATTTTTCCATCTTGACAGAACTTGGAAGATGGGTGGACTTCGACTCCCATGGCGGGCTGGGGAATTCTGGGAGTTGAAGTCCACCCATCTTCAATGTCCATGGAGATTCTCAAGACATCCAGGTCACGATTGTCCCAAAGGTCCTTTTTTCGAAAGGCAGCGGGACTTTGTTTTTTCCCTTGAAGACGTTTCGCTTCTCATCCAAGAAGCTTCTTTGGTTCTCGGATGGATGAGAAGTGAAACGTCTTCGAGGAACAAGTAAGTAAGTCCAGTTGCCTTTTGAAAAAGCACCTTTGGGACAACCATCTTCAAGCTGCTGAGGTTGACAAATATTGACTTAGGATCTCTGCCTAGGGGTGGTTGGTTTTTTGGGAGCACTAAAGCTGGATGGAAGGACCACCTTCGGATGATGCTCTGGAAGGGAAAAAACCAGCTATCCTGAATACCCGGAAGGTGTGTCCACACCTGGGAAAGCTTGAACTTACATCATCGTAGATTTTGGTTGACGATTCGATGTACGTCGATTTGTCTTTGAACGTCAAGCGTGGGAAAATCCCGGCAATTTTGTTCTCGCGGTCCAGCTGTTCGGCAGCATCAGAAAACAGAAGAGAAAAGAATGAAAGGAGGGCTAGATTTTGAGACATCAGACACAGCACCTTTCCCTTCCCAGAATCCCCTCCCCGAGGGCACTGAGGCTACAATTCCCATCATCCCCAATCGTCCTATACCTGTGATGGGCTGGGAAAACAGTGGGGCTAAGAAAGTCTTCTCAGAAATAACTCAAGGCGGTGAATGAATCCAATATTCCTTCCCATTCCTGTTTCCCATACAACAACAACAACCCTGTGAGGTGAGTTGGACTGAGAGTGAAGGACGAGCTCAAAGTCACCCAGCTGGCTTTCATCCCTGAAGTGGGACTAGAACTCCCAGTCTCCTGGGGACTGGCCTAAAGTCACCCAGCTGGCTTTCAACCATAAGGCAGGACTTGAACTCACGGTCTCCTGCTTTCTAGCCTAGTGCCTTAACTACTAAACCAAAGTGGCTCAATTCCTCCTCAATTCTTCCAACGAGTAGTCACGCGCCCCCTTCTCACCCGGACATCCATCACTTTTGTGATCTTCCAGAGATCGATGAGCAGACCGAAGAAGACGCTGACTTGCACCACAAAGTTTGTTTCGTTATCCAGGATGTAAAGAAGGACCACGAGGGACTGGAACACCCCAAAGAAGACCGACCGAACGGAGAGGCCCTCCAGGGACTGCCTGCTGTTCCAGAACTGAATATCTAACCGGGAGGATGAGAAACACAATTGAGGTTGGGAAAGGAAGCGATTCTCCTTCACGCCCTTCGCTCTACAGACAGGGTCCTTTGGACTAGAATCTGGGTGACTTTAAGGTGGGTGGACTTCAACTCCCAGAATTCCCCAGACAGCATGGCTGTCATCTCATAAAATAGTTCTATGGTCTTTTTAGAGTTGCCAAAGGAAAGGGAAAGGGGAGCAGTGTGGCAGCTTGGAAACGAAAAGTGCATTCCATAAAATAGTTTTTCAAAGATAGCAACTAGGGGACTGAAGTTTCTGCCCTGCAAAATTCTAACTGGAGAGCATGATTGATGACTCTGGGCTATGGATGTGTCCCATTGGAGAATATGAATTACGATACACCCAGGGGGTGGGGGGTGGGGGAAAAACCAGGGTCAAGGGTGACAATAAATTATGTGTCTCAAGAGTTGGCTGCACCCAGGCAGTGCCGGCATGTTAACTCCCAATAAATCCTTTTGAAGTTTTGGGAGTTTGGCTTGAGACTCATGATTTAATTGGGGGTAACTGCCGGAATCCTGACACTGGCTGGCTGGGGAATTCTGGGAGTTGAAGTCCATCCACCTTAAAAGTCACCAAGGTAGAGAAAACACTGGATTAGAAGAACCACCATGTGTCTCCCGGGATCGTACTTGGTTACAATCAGCAACTTGGCCAACAATTGACAACACGCAGCAGTGCACACTCAATCCCAGTTTTGGGAAAATCGATCCAGGAGACACCTTTGCTTTGAAGGGTTACAGATAGTCCTTGACATACGACCATAATGGAGCCTGCCCAGTAGAGTCAGATTTTTGTACCGGCCCTAAAGTTGGTCGGTCATGTGATTTTTACAACTTTGTTTGCGGTGGGCGTTAAGTGAACACGATGGTGGTGATGGTAAGTGAAAACCAGAAGGAACCGGGTGGCCAGGGATCTGGAGTTTGGTGGTGTGTCTGGTGACTGGGGTTTGGGGGGGGGGGAGAGAAATGATGGGATTTTGAATTTTCGACCTGGCTGTAACTTCAAACGTTTCATTGCAAACTTGAGAACGAGTTGTAATCACAGCAGGGTAACGGGGGGGGGGGGGGGGGGGGGGGGGGG